TTTTCTCCAAAACTCCCCGGCCACTACGTGAAAATTGTGTGTGTGTGTGTGTATATAACCTAAGTCACAAATGATTTGGTCCATTTAGAAATCCAATTTGAGGCCCAATTAACTTCGTGTTCCTCCAGATCATTCGATCTTTCGAATTAATGCAGTTTAGTCCCTGTACTTTGAATTTTGCCATTTTTCTGCTATTTTACATTTTTCTTCAATTTTTCATCAAACATAAAGTTTTACCTATAAAATACAATTTAACATAAATTAAGTAGAATTTAATTCAAAAAACAATAAAATATCATAATTTAGGGTCACAAATAAGTGTATAAACTACACTTATCAACCACTTGCTTGCTTTGGCCCAAATTGGAGGTAACCTAATATATGTTATATATCCTCCATCTCATCTACCGTATGTTTTCTTGTGCATGTGTGTGTGTTTTGTAGAGCAAAAACAATGTATGAGCGAGCCATCTTGGTTGAGTGATTACCATAGTTCTTCTTTATTTTTCTCCTTCCATAATTCTTTGGTGAGTAAATTGAGCCAGAATTTAAGATTTCTTGGAGATTTCGTCAACAAATGATATCAAGTTTATGTTGATGAGAAATCTGTGAAAATTTTGATGCAAAAAAGGCCAAAAGTGGTTTGAAATCGAGCCAAAAATCTAGTTTTTAATCAAAGTAGCCGAACTTTTTTGCTTGATTTTTTGCCAATCCACTAACTTGGTGGACGATTGGAGACCACAAACATGACTAGCAGGTTAAGGCGGTGCTAGGTGGTCGATGTATGAGGTCCGACGGCGACGTGTGAAGCCCACGCGTAGAGACGACAAAAGCGTATGATAGCGCATCTAATAGATTCAGACGAGACTCTCCAAAGATAATTTTACCTTGGTGGCATGGCAAACCCATGAAGTGGTGGCCGTTTTCTATTTTTTTGAGATAAGGTAAATTCTGGACAATTTTACCCTTGGATGTTTGGGTCATGAGTGTCATTTATTAATTGTCATAGTTGCTGGATGTTTTAGGATGAATAGTTGCGGCCCTAAAGCGGTAAGTTCACACCTATCCTTTTTTATGAACCAATGGATGTGGTAAGCTCGGTATCGTGTTCTTTCCCTTTTATTACTGCAGTTACAGCTATCATGTGGGGTAGTTATTACTTTTCGTATTATAATTTATCGTGTGGGTTGACGTTAGGTTTGGAGTTACTGTGTATGGTAACCATTGCATGTTGCTAGACCTACAAATTGTTTGTTAATTATTTACATTAAATTCTTTGTGAGTTTATTGCCAAATTTTTCCTACATTATTAGAATTACATGTGACCTTAGGAAAGTTTGTTTGACTATTTTGTATGAATTGTGTATGTACTTTTCTCCTGATCATTATTTGATATTTATGGCAAATATAGGTCTAATTTTAACTGCAGTATTTTAGACATGTTTAATGAGACTTTCATAGGAAATATAATATGAAGAAAGAAGAGGGGAGCGGTAGGGCGAAAATTGTCACTGGGTCTTGTTATGACCCGAGTAAGGTTTATTGAGAGTAAATCGAGTTACTACATGTGTATCCGCGCGTGATCATTTCTGCATGTGTGATTGCTTAACTTTGTTGCATGGTTATATGTTACACTTTGAATCTGTTTGATGTGTGTATTTGCTTGTAATGAGAGTGGTCTTATTACTTTGTGTTTGCATGCGTAGTGGGTTAAGATCTTTGGCATGCTCATTTTGCTCTATGAGTGGTGTTAAATGGCATGGGAGTGAGAAGAAATAGGGACAGTCATTTTTACCTTTATCTTTGTAAGTCGTGTGGTTTGTGAGATTATGTAGGGGGTATCTTCTTCCTCTTCTGAGCCTTTTTTACGAGTGTAGTGAAGTAACCAACTCTTTCTTCTATTCTTTTTGTGAGCATCACCTTCAACCTTCCCTTTATGGGATAAATCCTTTGTCGACTTTTTGAGCATTCCTGATGGAATAACCTTGTGGTGTATAGCTCGATTTTGACTTAGTGGATTTGAGAGAGATTAGCAGTAAGTGTGCAATATATCTTTTGGTAATGTGGAGTATAGATGTCTACGGGTACATTGGTGATTTGTACCGGAGATATGGAGAGGTGATT